GGAGGGAGAAGCCATGATCATATCTCCTTGAAAGTTTTCCAGCTGCAATTCAAAGCCATTTGCTTTTTTTTTTTTTTTTTTAGTTTTAGATGGATACAACCCCTTTATTTTATTTATTTATGTAGTGTTGAGGATCAAACCCAGTGCTCCGTGCATGTGAGGCAAGCACTGTACCACTGTGCCACAACCCCAGCCCCAAAGCCATTTATCTCATTTTTTATTCTCTCTTCAGTTTGAGAACAGCTCAGCACTCTCTTCTATTTCTATCCTGAAAGACTTAACAATTGTTGTAAGAAAATTCCCAGGCTGCTGTTTTTGATACTTTAAAAGTCTATTCCTTCATGGTGAGAGATAGAGATTTGTTTTCATTTGCTGCATATGGACTTCCAGTTCTCCAAGCATCCTTTGTTGAAGAGGGTATGTTTTCTCTTATGTAAGTTCTTGGCACCCTTGTCTAGTATGAGATAACTGTATTTATGTGGGTTTTTCTCTGTGTCTTCTATTCTGTACCATTGCTCTACATATCTGTTTTGGTGCCAACACCATGCTGTTTTTGTTACTACAGCTTTGTAGTATAGTTGAAGGTCTGGTATTGTGATGCCTCCTGCTTCACTCTTCTTGCTAAGGATTGCTTTGGCTATTCTGGGTCTCTTATTTTCCAAATGAATTTAATGATTGCTTTTTCTATTTCTATAAGGAATGACATTTTGTATTTTAATTGTAATCAAATTGAACTGAATAGCGCTTTGGGTAGTATGGCCATTTTGACAATATTAATTTTCCCTATCAAGAGCATGGGAAATCTTTCCATCTTCTAAGGTTCTCTTCAATTTCTTTCTTTAGAGTTCTGTAGTTTTCAGTGTAGAGTTCTTTCACCTCTTTTGTTGAGTTGATTCCCAAACTTTAGTCATTTGTTTAGCTTTTCAACATTCCAGAATCTCCTTCCTGGCCACCTGCTGGACAATGTGTCTCACCCACCTATTTCCATTTACCACCTACTGTTCTCAAATAACAGAAAGGGAGGATTAAAGCAGGGCTTTCTCTCAGCTTCTTCTAATGGATAACAATAAAGGCATCAGAACTTCACTTTTCAAACTTTTAATGAATAGTATGGAATGTGTTTAAAAACACAGATGTAAGACCCACACCTGGTGTGATTCCCATGTCTGCCACTGCACTAGCTGTGGGATCTTGGGCAAGTGATTTAACCCCTCTCTGCCAAACTTTCCTTACCTGTGAAATAGGGATAGCATCCCACTTGGGTTATTCTACAGATTAAATTAATGTGCTATATATATATAATATATTTACAACACCTGCAAATGAAAACAACTATAATCATTACCTAAATTTCAAAATCAGAATTATTTTAGTGTTGTGATCTATTTTTTTAATTTTTAAAAAATTTTATTCTAATTTGTTATACATAAAAGCAAAATGCATTACAATTCATATTACAAGGAAAACTCAAAAAATTCTTATTATAAAAAACTCAAAAAGCTGAACATCGAAAAACAAATAGCCCAATCAATAAATGGGCCAAGGAACTGAACAGACACCTCTCAGAAGATGATATACAATCAATCAAATATATGAAAAAATGTTCAACATCTCTAGCAATTAGAGAAATGCAAATCAAAACTACTCTAAGATTTCATCTCATTCCAGTCAGAATGGTAATTTTTTCATATCTATGGTTGTATATAAAGTACTTTCACACCATTCGTGTTTTTATACATGTACTTAGGGTAATGATATCCCATCTCATTCCACCATCTTTTTTACCCCCTTACTCCCTCCCTTTCCCTCCTACCCCTTTGTCCTATCCAGAGTTTTTCCAGTTCTCCAATGCTCCCCCTCCCAGCCCCACTATGAATCAGCCTCCTTATATCAGATTTGGCATTTGGTTTTTTGGGATTGGCTAACTTCATTTAGCATTATATTCTCCAACTTCATCCATTTACTTGCAAATGCTATGATTTTATTCTTTTTAATATCTGAGTAATATTCCATTGCATATATATACCACATTTTCTTTATCCATTCATCTGCTAAAGGGCATCTAGGTTGGTTCCATAGTTTAGCTATTATGAATTGTTCTGCAATAAACATTGATGTAGCTGTGTCCCTGTAGTGTGCTGTTTTTAAGTCCTTGAGGTGTAGACCAAGGAATGGGATAGCTGAGTCAAATGGTGGCTCCATTCCAAGTTTTCCAAGGAATCTCCATACTGCTTTCCATATTGGCTGCACCATTTTGCAGTCCCCCCAGCAATGTATGAGTGTGCCTTTTTCCCTACATCCTTGCCAATACTTATTGTTGTTTGTATGCTTAATAGATGCCATTCTGACTAGAATGAGATGAAATCTTAGAGTAGTTTTGATTTGCATTTCTCTAATTGCTAGGGATGTTGAACATTTTTTCATATATTTGATTGATTGTATATCATCTTCTGAGAGGTGTCTGTTCAGTTCCTTGGCCCATTTATTGATTGGGCTATTTGTTTTTCGATGTTTAGCTTTCTGAGTTTTTTATATACCCTAGAGATTAGTGCTCTATCTGATGTACAAGATGCAAAAATTTGCTCCCAAGATGTAGGCTCTCTATTCCCCTCACTGATTATTTCTTTGGCCAAGAAGAAGCTTTTTAGTTTGAATCCATCCCCTTTATTGATTCTTGATTTTAATTCTTGCGCAATAGGAGTCTTATTAAGGACATTGGGGCCTAATCTAACATGATGGAGATTTGGTCCTACTTTTTCTTCTAATAGGAACAGTATCTCTAGTTTAATTCATAGGTCTTTGATCCACTTTGAGTTGAGTTTTGTGCATGGTGAGAGGTAGGGGTTTAATTTTATTTACATATGAATTTCCAGTTTTCCCAGCACTGCTTGTTGAAGAGACTGTCTTTTCTCTAGCATATGTTTTTGGTGCAAGAGAATAAAGAGGGAGAAGAAAGAACAAGAATTGTTTTGGTTGGAGATCAGTATCTTTCCTGCCTCCTTTCTCATCCAGTAGCTGAGGTTGTCTGTTCTTAGTTGGTATCTCCACCCTCAGGATGGTAGGGGTTACTAGGTTTTGAGGGTTGGTCTTGGGTACAAGGCACCTGGAAGTAGGGTTTGGCACTCACTGGTCCCATTTGGGAGACTGCACCTCAACGATCTCTTTTTGGGGTCTGCTCCTGTGAGGTGGGTGCTGTGTCTTATCTCCCCATCTCACCTGTAGACCTCACAGTCTTGCCCTCTAAATTAGTCTCTAAAGTGTATCTCCCACACTCTCTCCCTTTCTACTTCCTAATAGGAACCTTTCTCTTGGGGGTCTCGTGTGTTCCATTCTGGTGGCTGCGTACCTTTGGAGGGTTGTTTTGAATTGGGCAGTCACTCTGCTGAGTTAGTGACTGCTGGGGTCTGGTGGGAATTAGAAAACTATGAGTACCTGGTATAGTGTATTACAGTATTCCAAATTGTTAGTTGCCCCAACTAAAGACTGTGATGGAAGTGACCCAGGATGGAGGCTGCTACTTTCAGTGATGGGGTGTCGGGTCGGGTAGGGGAGTTGGGTAATGGCATTGTGTGATGCGTTCAGAGATGAGCTCTGTGGTGTGCAGTGTTGCGGCTGTTGGCTTTCTTCAGAGCCTGTGATGTGTCCCCAGGTGTAGGCAGGCTACCGTGAGTAGAGGACTATGGCAGTAGCTGCCCAGTCCCAAGATGGAGGTGACCGGGGAGCCCCACATTAGTAGATGGGGGTCCATAGGGACTGTCAGTGGGTAGTGGCTGAGTGTCCTTCGTGGGAGCTGTGTCTGGGAGTTCTTCACCTGTGCTGATGCCAGTGGTCCCTCTAAGGCACCCGCCAGACCTATATGGGTGAGTAGTTGGGAGTCCTTTTCTAATGCTGAGACCTGGGGCCTACATGGCACAGCAGCCATGATTCCTGTAAAGGATCAGCTATGGATCAGCTATCACTCTCAGCAAAGCAGTATTCTCACTAGTTGAGACCCGAGACATGGAGTTACACAGAATGCTGCCTCCCTCTGGCCCACCATCTTTAGATCCCCTGTGTCGTGATCTATATGAGAGGCTTATTCTGAATCTCAGAATAAGCACTGCATTTTTGGGGGGAGGCAGGGGAGTACTGGGGATTGAACTCAGGGGAATTGACATCCCAAGCCCCATTTTGTATTTTATTTAGAGACAAGCACTCACTGAGTTGCTTTGCACCTCATTGTTGCTGAGGCTGGCTTTGAACTCAGGATCCTCCTGTCTCAGCCTCCCGAGTCAGTGGGATTACAGATGTGTGCCACCACGTCCAGCTGTTATTTTAATATTAACTCAACTAGCATTTTTCTCTTACAAATGAAAGGCCTGAGTATTGATCGGTTCTTATGATTTCTCTCTCCCTTTTTTTTTAATTATTATGCTGGATTTCCTAAGCCTCGATTGCCTTAGTTCTTTAAGTTGTTATGGTAAGAAGGGAAAATGATGTTTCTGTATGAGGGGCTGTAAATACGAAGAGTGACTATCTCAATTTGCCTGGAATTGAGGGTTTTCTTGAGATATTTTAGTACTAAAATTGGGCACATCATTTGCATCCATGGTGGTTAGACGCCCTCAATATAAAGGCGTTACATAAAGCAGTAACAAAACAGGGGAAGGGAGACACATATTCGTACTAATTTCATCAGCACAAAATAATTCTTGGTATAATAACAATGTTATTTTGATTTGTTTTATGGTGCTGGGGCTTGACCTCAGGGCCTTGCTCATGCTGAGCATGTACTCTATCACTGAGCAATTACACCAGCCTGTTGCCTTGAGTTTTGACTCTAGAAATCCCTGGTGAGAATATTAAGGATGAAATTGTACTGAACTCATTAATTCTAAATGTCAGGCATTTGAGCTTCATTTTTTGCTATTATCATCTTGGTATAGATCTTTCCCCCTTCATTTTATGTTGTTCTCCTTTCTTCTGATCATTTTGTGCTTGTTATTTTTTTTTTTTTTCAGGTCAACTCAGATCAAAACGTACTCTTGGGACAATGCCCAGGTTATCCTGGTTGGGAACAAATGTGACATGGAAGATGAGCGGGTCATTTCAACCGAGAGAGGCCAACATTTAGGAGAACAGCTTGGTAAGAAACAAATTAGTAAATTAACAAGAAGAGAACTTGGTAATTATTTGTAACACTCTGCAAAGTTTCAGGTAATCATCAGAGTGATATTAACCGAAAGTTTGTCAACAAACTGGAAAGCAGCTCACGCCTCTGTACGTGGTTTGTGCCTTTCTTACTTGCTGCAGTATCGATGGAATTCAAGCACAATTATAAAAGCAAAGCTGATACCAAGATTTTAGTTTTAGTGCAAGGTTTCTCACTCTTATTCTGTGAAAAACATGGATTATGACTTTCCCACTATTTCTATGGGGTTTTCTCCGAACACATCATTTTGCATTGAGTAAGCATGTTATTGTGTAATCAATTGTTCTCATAATTGGCATATGGTAATGCCACCAAACACATCACATCCTTGATTCTAGTTCTGTGGACATCATTGATAACTCATGTTATTATTACAAACCATTTTTAGACTCAAGTTTCTCATCTCTCAAGAATGAGTTTCATAACCTGTGCCTACTTATCCAAGCCCTTATAGGTACCATCAGCCAAAATGATACATGCACACTTTAGAAATAACAAGGCCACTTCAAACACAAAATCTTAACAGAAACCAGAGTGAGGAGGGTAGAGTTTCTGTGTAAAGGAAGGACTAATGACTGGTTAAATCAAGGCTTTTTAAAATATTATTTTATGTCTTCCTTTGTGCTAGACATCATGGGGGATACAAACAAACATGATCCACAGTCCCTGTGCTCAAGTTGCTACTAAGCAAGTGGGGAGACTAGAGACAACGAGAAATAACAAGACAACAACAACAGGTCAATGAGGTGTTGATGAGCTGGAAGGCAGGTGCCCAAAGGAAATGTCCAGAAATAGGGATACAGACATAGGGACAAAGGAGGAGCAGACACCTGCTGGGATAGTAGGTGGAGATGGTAGCGCCCTTAGGAAGACAAGTAAGGAGACAAGATGGAGATCATATAGACTAAATGGCGAGGTATGGAGACCAGAATTTAGAAACTACCAAGGGGAGAAGATGCATTCTGGGTGAAGGGCACTGTGGTAGGCAGACATTAAGAAGAGCTAAGTTGAAAGGACAGTGAGTACAAAGGTTAGAAAACCTGGTGTAAGATTGCAGAAGTTGTGATTTTGGAGAACAATTCCAGCCCTCAAGTTTAGAGCTGGGATTTTTTGTTTGTTTGTTTAACTAATTTTTCTGTAGAACACAGAGAATGATAAGGGATTCTTATCAGAGAAGAGTCAAACTTTCCAACCTTTTTGTCCAGGACCTGCAGTAAGAAATATATTCAATATGCTTATCTAGAACCTATATATGGGGGAGCAGGGAGAGAGGAAGAAACAAGTTCTCACAAAATACATTTACCTTCACTAGAAGAGATTCACTTTATTATTGTCTTTCTTTTTCTGTTGTGTAATGATGGTCTCAACTCCTAAGCAGATCCCACCAGTGAGTCTCAACCTACCATATGAAAAACAGTGCCATAAAATGGGTGTTCTGAATTAGTCTGCTTTGGTTGTAGCACAAACAGGTGAAGCAGAGACCCTCTGAATGGTTCAGTCTATCCCTTGGTAATCTCATAACGGAGCTAAGCCCGGTTCACTCTGAGAGCTTGGCCATTTCCTCATGAGATCAATGGGCTCGTTCCATTAAAACCTATCTCTTCATGACCACGAGAACTCTCCACCAAACATTCTTAGAGCCACTCATGAAAAGTGCCACAGCTGATGTCTGGTTTTACCCAGTCTATCAATTTATCAATATTTTAGGCAGAGTCTAGAAGCTTGGCAACCTTTCTTAGTTTCTCAGGAAGATAGGAGTAGAGAATAGTAGATTCACAAGAAAAAGGAACAAGGAAACCTAGAAGAGCGTTATTAGCAGAGTGACTTCCTCAGACTATCTCTTTCCTCCTTGTATTTTCTTGACTACCCAAGTATATGCCATGCAGAGAAAAAACTTCTATACAGATAGAATCTGTCTCTATAAATAAGCCTGAAACTGCTTGGTTCCAAGAAAATTCAATCAAATTCGAACCTTGCTCCATGTCATTGCCACACAAGAGTGAGGTAATAGCTAAATTTTTTCCACTGCAACACAATACTCAGGTGCTGAGATCAGGGGTATTGAAGGGGTATTAGATTAGTGGAAATGCATCAGGATCCTGACTTTCCCTAGAACTCCACCATCTGACACACATACACACCCTCTCCATTCACTGCACAGACATGGGCAAAGTTGCCAGAATGTGGGGTAGAATTGTTTTGAAATGTTTTATCTTTCTGCTCAAGTTCTGCCAATGGTTTCTAATTGATTTTTTTCTCTCTATTCAATAAAAACCCAGCAGTTGTCATAGCAACCAACACGTGTGCATTCTTGGAGAGTCATTTACCTCCTTCAGTGTGGTTTGCTCTCCTCATGATTACACATGCATCTATAGATAATTAGGAGAGATCAGTTATTTGGACGAGGGTGGACAATAATACCCAGAATCTAAATATAAAGGTTTTAAAGAATTTAATTTACTTAAATTACTGCTATAATTTTTCTCTCCAGAATACTGTCATACATGCAAAGAGGTTAGGCATTTTTTTTAAAGGTCATTACCACATCTTGGCAGATAGCTCAAAATAACTGGTTTATTGACCTGGTTTCAATAATTCTCCATTATGGGTGGTTATATCCATATAACATTTTCTCATCCTAATGAGGGTTTTTGATGAAACCAAGTTGTAGCTGAGAGCTTTAAACTTCTTTTATGGCCCGTGCCCTTGCCAATTTAATTTCATTCACCAAACACTTATTAAGTGTATACAATATACCAGCTCCTGAGAATATAATGACAAATAGCCCTGCCTTCCAGAAATCATTATATCGATGGTGATAGACTATATGAACAAGGATTATTTTTCCTGGCCTTCCCTCTGCTAGCTATTTTGTTTCATTTGATTCTGATGAGCAACCCTTCTTTACAACACCTTAGTTTCCATGACACAGTGCCTTCTGTTCTCCATAATCCTTCCAGCCAAGTGTTCTGTCCTTGGTAGATTCCTCCTTTCTCTCTGTTGCACTTTGATTTTCCCTCTGTGTCCCCCACCCACTCTTCAACCTCTACACCCTCCCTTGTATATTCCCATCCATTACAAGATTTTAATTCCACCTACAAATTAATGACTGCAAATTGGGTCCCAGTACTGACCTCATGATCTAACTTCAGGCTCCTCTATCTACCTGCCAATTCTATATACATTCAGAATTTATGACGTAGGGTGGTTGGTTAATCTATATGTAGCTGCGTTAACTGGAGTTTGATATGCATGCTCACCCACCCTAACTTGGACCTATTGCATCAGAGTTTTTGAAGTTAAAGCCTAGGACCTACACTGTTTAGCAAACACTTTTGTAACTTTTATACAATACCAAATTTTTTAGCATACTGACTTTCACAGCAGGGTGTATTTAGAGAGGATAAGAAATTGCTGCCAGAGCTCAACATTGTCCTATAGGTGGCACTATTCTTCCCATACATGCTTTCAACTTTGAGTCTATGGGCATACACTCTATAACATTATGTAAGAATGTGTGTCTTTTATATTGAATTTACAATATTACAATTATATATATAAACTCTCAACATTTAAGTTGTAAGTGTAAAACTACTAAATGTTAAATGGAAAAAATGGGACATGTAATTAAAGACAAAGGTTATCTAAAAGTAGAATTTACCTGGGAAAAGGAATAAAGAAATTTATGGAGGGAAAGGGATTTGGATTGCCTTGAAGTCATAGGGAAAGAATATTGACCTGTGAAAGAGTAGAGAGTCCTAAGTTTCCCAGAAATGTAGTCAGAGAAACAAAGCCTGCAGATAAATTAAAATTGCTTTTGGAAAAAAGTGATTATTTTGATTATCAATTTGTAAAAAGTCAGTTTTTAATATGTTTTTTAATTTACAGTAATATTTCTTGCTAAAGAAAATAGAAAATGATATTCCCAATTACTTTTCAAACAACTGTCATGCCATATAGATGTATTACTAAATTTCGATCCATCCCTGCATCCTTATCCCTTGTTCTGTGCAGAGACCTCATGAGGATTTCTTTTTCAATTTTATTTATTTATTCATTTTTTATGTGGAGCTCAGTATAGAACCCAGGGCCTCGCACATGCTCCAGAGTGCTTTACTGCTGAGCCACACCCCCCCCCCCCCCCCCCCCCCCGTGAGGATTTCTGACAGACACAAAATATGCATAACGCTGCCATCTTTCCAAGCTGGACAATTTTCCTCCCTTTCTTTTCACATTTAGTGACTTTTTTTTTGTTTTGATCAATCATCTGACAAATATCTTTTCAACTCCTATAATGATGTTGAAGCGTTATAACAGATGTCATCTCTTTTGTGGCACTTAAAATGTGGTCTGTATATCAGAAATTCTCTCAAATATCATGATGCATAAATTAAACAAGGTTGGAGGGCATCAGCATGTGTATTTTGAAGGATGGAGGAGGAGCATTGATTTCTATGAGAGGACAGTTGCTTCTAATTTTAGGAATATAAAGACTAAAAAAAAGACATATTCTATGCCTACAAACTCTGAAACATGTTGATTTGATAAAGACTGGCTTCATTAAACAATTCCTTCAAGGACTTAGTGTCTTAAAATAAAAAGAGGTAAACTTAAGACAATATTCCACACCAATATACTAATGTAACCCAGTTATCTCTGGAAGTGAAAGATGATGCAGGAAGAATATGTAATGGCTTTCAAAAGCATTTAGAGAAATCATGGGAGGCAGATCCTAGAGAGAATTCAGATTTGGGGGGATTTTTCTGTTCCATCAGGGATAAGAGTTTGGGACTATTGTTGTCTTGTATGTCCTGGTCCCAGTCTTGCAGCAAAGCCCACTGAAGTGAAAGAATCATCATTAAAACCCAGACAGGAAAATCCACCTGATTTTAGTAACCATGATTCTGATTGTTGATGAACCTGAGTGACCCCAC